CCCTGCGCCTGCCCCGGCAGCGGACCCGCCCCGTCCACGCGCGTTCGGCGCGAACCCGTTTGCACTGTTCTCCTGCTTCCTTTCTCCTCTGCAGGCGGAAGAGACGGAATTTCAACAAGCAAGCGACGGAAATCCTGAACGAATATTTCTACTCCCACCTCAGCAACCCTTACCCCAGCGAGGAAGCCAAAGAGGAGCTAGCCAAGAAGTGCGGCATCACCGTGTCCCAGGTGGGGACCCCGAGGGCGCAGCCACCCGCGGGGCTCTGGGGGGGTCGCCGTAGAACTGTCAGGCCCTGCGAGTGCCTAAGCCGGCGAGGTGAGCCTGGGATGTGTGCAGATAAGACAGCGTCCAGGTAAGTACCTGGGCCAACCGCTCAGGCCCGGCGGAGGCAGACAAGCCGGTGGAGCGCGTCCGGCATCTCCCTGCCGCCCGCGGCTGCGAACGGGGCGGGTTCGGCGTGGCCGTGGGAAGCGGTCTGCCTTCCTCATCTTCTCAAACACGGTCAGTCCCGTAGCCCAGTTTTCTTACCCAACCCGGTCACTTTACAAGGCTGGGACGAGACCTTTTAAGTGAAAAGGACTGAAACGCCTTCCATTGAGGTGCTCGCTGTAACCAATGGAGAGTAGAGATTCTAACATGTCGTCGTGATCACACCCGAGTGCCCCCTTCTCCACCCCCAGAGAATGATGACCACGACAGGTGCCTGCAGAAAAGATGCATGATGTAGGACCTTCATCAGCCTGAGCCTTCAGCATGAACATGAAGTAGAAAAGTAGGCGGTACTTGTATGCGTGGACATTTTGTCTCCTCGAAGACCCCAGCCAAACTCGTGACGCAGTCTGAACCTTGAATGCCACCACCGTCTCTAGCTCAGACCAGGAGGGATCATCCTGAAATTTACCACGGAAAGTTCTCCGCTGTAGCGAGAAACGTCACTTAACTTTTTCCAAAGGAAGCAGACTCTGCCGTGCGTGAGCTGAGCGACTGTGCATCCTTGAACTGAATCCTGGCTTCTGTCACTCCCCGCAGGGTGCCGACCCCATCGGGGCTCGTGGGAGTGCCGACTCCTCTCACGGTATTTACAGTGAGGAGATTGGCAGGGCCTCCCAACAAGCCCTGGGTGATTCCAGAAAGATAAGGTGGAAAGAGCTAACTTTCCAGAAAGATAAGGTGGAAAGAACTAACCCCTTTTCAACTCAGATCTCCTCTGGGCGCTTTGACCCAGCCGAAGGTCATTCACAGTCTCGATAGCCCTGGGAAAGCAGGACCCAGTGGGCAGACTCCGGTGGCCTGGTTCTGTCTAGGTCTCTAACCGTTCTCAGCCAAATCTAGACCTTTTGTCCGCAAGAAGAGAGGATCAACGTTTCTGCTGAGATCGGCTACGTCTTTGATCCATGAACCAGGCGTGAACCACATCGCTAACGCACAATCAGTGAATGTCGCTCGTGGAATCTTCCATATTATCTGAACTCAAATTCTGGGATTTGGATTTCCAGCTCCCTACTGAGGAGAGAACGAACTCCAGAGCGAGTCCGCATCACGCGATGGAAGACGGAGGCCCGGCCTGTCCAGCAAGCTGCGCTTCCGTCCTCAGGAAACTCGAGACGCAGAGAGTTGTCCATCAGAATGACTGTGTACGTTCCGCGTCACCCCGAGGCCGTGCCCGCCCTCCTTCGCCATCACGTGACTCCCTCCCAACAGCAGCTGCGCTCTGCCACCATCGCCGAGCAGGTCCCAGGACAGACGGCACGATGCGGCATCACAGGAAGAGCATGTGGCTGGGAGTGTGTTTTTGCCAAGAGCCGGCCGTGGGGTTTCAGGGAGCTCGCACTTTCCTTTCCGGTCTCAGTTACCCCATCTACCAGCCGTGGGCCGTTGCACCGCATGATGTCTCCGCCTGGCTCCCAGATCCAGGGAATGCCCTTTGAACTGTCTTCCTCCTTCCCTCCCTCCCTCCTTCCTGTCTTCATTACCGATCTCCCTCCCATCTTGAAATTCACATACCTCGGCTTCCTCGGCACTGTTCTCTCTTAATTTCGTCCTTCCTCGGTCCATTCTTGCTCAGTCTTCTTAGGGCGTCCGGTGTCTCTAGCTACGGTAAAATATTGTTCTTTATTTAGCCCTCATTTCTTCGTGCCCTAGCCTATGGTTCTTAACCGGTTTTCTAAGTCACGGATTCCTTCGAAATCTACTTACCACCGAGTCCCCCTGCGATGCGGAGGGAGAAGGTACACCGAAACGCCTCTGAAGTCCGTTGCTTGAGCCACCCTCGTGACACGTTGCCGCCTGGAGGGCGGTCCTCCGAAGGCAGCCTCAGCAACAGCAAGAGCTGCTTAGAAAGGTGCCTTCCCAGGCCCGCCCCGTCCTGAATCAGACTCTCTGGGGCCGGGAAGCGAGGGCCTGGGAATCCGCTTCGACCCCGGCTCCGTGCGCACTTGACTTTGGAAAGCGCCCTTCTGCAGTCTGAGCGAGCTTGTCCACGTTCACGGCGACGTCTGTCCCAAGCACCACTCGCCCATCTGACTTCCCGCCGGGCCTGCCACAGCTCTGCCCACAGGCTCTTTACACTCGCTGTGTCCCCAGCGTGAGTCCGAGTGTCCCCCGGAGCATCTCCCGACTCCCCGCGACAGCGTGTCCGTCACCGGTGTGCCCTTGGGTCCGTGGCGCTGAACAGCGAGCCCACGAGCGAGAACGCGGGCTCTGCACACCATCCAGGCAGGAAATGCCCAGAGCGGGCCGGCGTCCTCCCCCGGTTCTGCTCTCCGGTCCAGTCGGGGGGCGTCCCACACGGCCCCTCCCCCTCGCCCTTCCCCTCGCTTCTCTCCCGCGGCTGATGCGATCAGCCCCGGCCCTTGGGTCCGTGGCGCTGAACAGCGAGCCCACGAGCGAGAACGCGGGCTCTGCACACCATCCAGGCAGGAAATGCCCAGAGCGGGCCGGCGTCCTCCCCCGGTTCTGCTCTCCGGTCCAGTCGGGGGGCGTCCCACACGGCCCCTCCCCCGCGCCCTTCCCCTCGGTTCTCTCCCGCAGCTGATGCGATCAGCCCCGGGCATTCGCGTCCTGCCCCCCAACGCCTCCGCCTTTCCCCCCCGTCCTCCAGCTCTTCCAGCTCCCTCAGAGAGCTCCCCACCTGTCTCCCCCTCTCTGTGCCGCTTAGAAGTTGAAGCAACCGCGGCCGTACTCATTGCCCGTGGCCGTGAAGCGTTACGGCAAGGAGAGCAGGGGTTGGGGTGAGCTTAGGTGGGTGGTGGGCCTAGCATGGGTGCCCTGGGCTCACTCAGTTTCTCTCGGCACCAGCGTTTACAGGAAATGAAGCCTTTCCTTACTGACTGTTTCTCTCCTTTACTAATATTGCAACGGTTGTGGCTTCATTTTTATAACGAAGACCTGGCATTTCCACCGCAGTGGATGCTGCCTAAGACTTTGAGCGTCAGCTTATGAAATTGTCATAGTTTGCTAATATATTTAAAGAATAAGTATAATTTTGCAAGAATTCTTTGTCTGCCGTTGCTGGGATAAACATAAATTCTGCGTAAGCTGTGTGATGTGTTATCAACCTCCTCTACCCAAACCAAATTCATAGGAGTTTTTGTTGGGTTTTTTTGTTTTTGTTTTTGTTTTTTCGTAATTATATGAAAACCACAGCGTTCTATTGTAGAATCGCATCTGGACTATGAGACATAAAACTTTCCTTCCTAAGGGAGGAATTAGGGGAGAAAAACTTGAATGTCACTGTGTCTCCCCTGCATCTGGCAGAGGCCTTGGTATACAAGGAGCCGGGGCACAGAACCAAGCCAGGACAGCTGCTGGGAGCCTCACGGAGGACGTAAACTCACGAACGAAAGTGAATTATGCTTGTTTTGTGCATTGGCTCTGACGAGGGAGGCCTGGAATGCGGAGGCGTTGTCAGCGGCGTGCTTGCTCCGGCCTTTCCTTACGTAGATGACAGCGAGCTTTGCACGCACGCAGAAGCTGTGGGGTTGACCTTTGTGGACGCCGAGGCCCGTAGTCCAGGACAGCTGAGAATCGAGTCCATATTAAAGTTATTTAACCTCCGAAAACCTGAATTCAGCCCATCGACGAAAACGCCCGTATCAGACACGGATTTATGTGGCTGTTTAAAGGTCCGTGTGTTTTTATTGCCCAAAGTCTGCGTTAGCATCGCTATGACAATAAAATTCTTGCAAAACTACACTTGTCTGTAAACACGTTTTATTTCGGCGTCGTGCCCTTAAGAGGTAAGCGGATTTAAAGCGCTCGCCCTTAGCTGAGAGGGCCCTGGTTCAAGGGGCAGCCCCTCCACAGCACAGCTTTCGTCACCACGGTTTTGCTCAATCGTGTCACGTTAAACGGGAAAATGCCACTGTCGAAGCTCTTAGCCCACACTTGTCCCTGAGGTCGGGGGGGCGGTCCCACGTGGCATCGGGCCAGCCGCCCACCGGCCCACCATCCCCCAGCCCGTCGCGTTCTGCCCGCCGTGTGCGAAGGTGGGATGCTAATGCCCTCGTCTTCTCTCAAACCGCCCTAGGTATCAAACTGGTTTGGAAATAAGCGGATCCGGTACAAGAAGAACATAGGTAAATTCCAAGAGGAAGCCAATATTTACGCTGCCAAAACGGCTGTCACTGCCACCAACGTGTCAGCCCACGGAAGCCAAGCTAACTCACCCTCAACTCCCAACTCAGCTGGTTAGTTTTTTCTTTGATTTGGGGGGATCGTGCTCCGTTTCTGTACGTGCTTCTCCTGCATCGGGATTTTCCTCTCATTCTTCAGGCTCCCGTTGGTTGATGTTTGCGTCTGACTTGCTGGAAGCCCCCCGGGGTTGCCCTCTCATTTCCGAAGATCACAGTGTGATGCTGTGTAGGTCGGGCTCGCCCGGGGCGAGTGCTGACGTGTCTGTTCACGGCACATTGCTCGGTTTTGGTGAGGAGAGGAGGCCCCTAGATTCTCCTCGCAGAGACACCGCCGAGGAAGCTAGACCTGGTCCTTAGGCGCGGTCCCCGGGGGTCCTAGCGTCCAGCGTGTTCCTCACCGAGTCTCTACCCCGGTCTGCACGGCTGTTCCCACCACACAGTCTCTGGGTGACCCGCTGGCGTGCAGTCTGCGCATTGACGTTCACTCTTCTGGCAGAGACCTCGTGAGAATGTTCTGGTCTGCAGAGCTAGACCGCAATCATTTCCGTACATTGTTTACAGTTGTTATTCCTTACTATTTTATTCTGTTGGTTTCTGTATGTAAACTGCAGAGGGCATTGCCAGTCATTAATTCAGATCATTCGTTTTCCAGTTCTCACGTTGTAACGTCAGTCACGTGCTAGGCTCCTGGTTTCGTTTTAATGAACATGCATCTATCACCCACTTGAGAGTTGAGGCTGACAAATATGTTTCTGGGTTTGCCTTGTATCTCAGTTCTGAATTTCTACAGGCGAAAAACATAGTTGGTAACGCACAAACTGTAACCTCAATGTGCGCATGCCACGGAAGGCGAGTTGGTCGTTTTTTTAAAGGGAAGGAGCAGAAACAGTTCCTCATGAAATGCATTTGGTCTCAGAGTACGGTGGGTATGTTCCCCCGTGGGGAACCAGACACGTCGATGTGGGCTGAGGGCGCCCATCGAAGGAAACGGACGCCTCCGATTTTACAAGGTCGCACGTTCAGCAATGTTAGATCGCAACATGATAAAAAGTCTCATTTCCAGCATGTCCGGGGGAGGGGGTTGGTATCTTTCACCCCGAAGCTCGGTTGTTCACTAAAATAAGTTCTCGTTCTGCCCACGGGGTTGTTCGCGGAGTCACGTACGGCTCCATGCTGACGTTTTCAGGAGCTTCCAGACACCCCCATCTTGCGACAGGCTGTCCCACGGTGGCCCGGCGGCCCGGGCCTCGTAAGCACGAATGTGGCGGGACGGTGCAGGTGCTGAGTTCCTTCCAGCTTTACCTTCCCCCGCACGCCGGTAGGGCAACCGTGAAGAGCGTGTGCGTGTGTGTGTGTCCTGTGTCCTTTGCCATCGCGGTCTGATTGACAAAGGATCGGCCGGCAAGCGCAAGGACCGGGCACCCCCCGTCCCCTGACCGGGCCGTGCTAAGCACTTCGGTCCAGCAGTGCCGGTGGAGTCACACTGCCAGGCAGACGTCCTCACCCGTCGGTCTCCCTGGAAGAAGGGTGGGTGCAGACACCCACTCAACACTCCTGGGAGGTTACCGTCATGCGAGACAGACATCAGAGCGACGCCCCCCGTCTCTGACAGGCCTGCACCGCAGATGGCTGGCGTGATTTACGGCCGGTCCTCAGGCGGGCCCTCAAATCTGGTTCTGCCTCCCTTCATTACTGCATCGTAACTTTCCCTTCTTTCCTAAGCACTTAAAGAGGACGGTGAGCATTTTAACCCCCTCGCCTCTGTCTGAGGTCTGTGCTGGCTCCCTCCAAGCCAGTCAACAGTTACGGTTTTCTAAGGAGAATTTCTGGTGGCTTAAACATCAAGTGACTGTTTTGAGCATGGAGTAAATTAGGGTGGGAAAGGGGAGCTAAGGAGCCCTCTGTGGTGCTTTTTCAGAAGTTAGAGCCCAGAGAAAACACCGCCGTGGACGCACGGCAGCCTGGACCTTTAAACGAACGGGCTCTTCTGTAACGCACGTGGAACATAACATCATACGCAGTATCTATCGTACACGTATACGCGGCTCTTAACCCACATCATTGCACAGATAAAGGGAGAACTTTAAAACAGACTTTTCACATAGGGTGTTTCTAAGGTCACATGTTAGCCTTTAAGTAATTCTGAAGGACACGCGATCGTGAAAATAGATAGCAGGTTTCAAAGAAAAGGTTAACGTGAAAATATATACTGGCCAAATTTGAAGTCTAGAGTCTAGAACCTGAGGATGTTTTATATCCTCAGTATCGGCGCGGGAGTGTTTTTCCAGAAGCTTTACTGAATATAGATACTCTTTTCCACTGCAAGGAAGAGACCGCAGGGAAACACTCTGCCCTCCAGAGGCTTCTGTGTGGACAGCGGTTTCCCAGCGTCTGTATTTAGGCCACTTCTGAGTGTCCCTCTCTGAGGACAGGCGTGCCCGTCTCCTATTTCCTTAAGCGTGATTTATAACATTCACTTAAAACCAGGACCTGGGCAGGACTGGCAGGCATTTAGAAATACTTGGCCAACATCACATTTCACACCAACGGAATTAAGCAAAATAGATGGAGTGAAGAGGAAAAATAGAAGGAAGACAAGAAAATTTAAATTTTGAAAAACAGAAAGCAAACATGGGGACGAGTGAAAGCAATGGTACAACCCCGGGTCTGTCCTCCTTCCGGCGTGTGCTCGAAGGGCGCACCCTCCATCTCCTATCTGTGATGAGGTCACAAAGGCGAGAGTTAAATCTCAGAAAACATGGCCCTCAGAGGAAGGTCGGATTATCTCTCGGGAATGTTGGAGAATATTTTAACATCCGGGAAGAAATTGGCTTGTGCGTTACAGAGCTTTGCCACGGCACACGAATACTTTAAGATCGGCACAGCTAAGCAACCCCAGGCTGGCTGGGGCTCAGCACCCCAGGCTTGAACTCTCTTGCTAGGCTGCGGGTGTGTGTCAAGGACAGCAGCAGCCTCAGCCGAGGACGGCCACCCTCCAGCACTGGTCCCTAGGGGGAAGCCCTCGTGCACATGCCTGTCACGCCCTCAGTAGGACGTGCAGTGTTTTCCGGGTTGGTGGAAGCTCGCCCTATAAAACCCTGGATGCCAGCTTCCTAAGAGAAGGCCGTGGGTAGGACACGCTTTCGAGAGGAGGCCACACATCCAGGGGAGCTGGCCGACACTCTGGCAGAGCCACGGGGACCCCCGTAGTCTCATGCGGAAGAACTTACCCTACCGGAGCTGTTCTCTCTTCCTGTGTTTCTGCCAGCGTCTGTATTTAGGCCACTTCTGAGTGTCCCTATCTGAGGACAGGTGTGCCCGTCTCTGGCAGAGCCACGGGGACCCCCGTAGTCTCGTGCGGAAGAACTTACCCTACTGGAGCTGTTCTCTCTTCCTGTGTTTCTACCCTTAGTGTCTAAGTGGAAGTAAAAGGGTGGCCTCCCAGCATAGGGTACCAGAGCAGAATAGGGTGCCAGAGCCTTGGCCCGCACACCCGCACACCTGCCTGCTGGAGGGTCTCACGCCCAGCCAGACGGCCCTTCCCTTTGTCACTTTGCCCTGCATGCGAAGTAACAGTGCCTTTGCATGTAGAGGGGGAAGAGCCGTGGAAAACAGAGAGGCGAGCATGGGACGCGGTCAACTTCCATCGAGCCAAGAGGCTCGGTCTTTGACCCTGCAAATGGCGTGGGACCCACCGTGATCAGCACGGCCCCCGAGTCGGTCCAGAGTTTCTGTTTCTAAGCTGCCAGCATCGGGGCAGGACTTCACCCCTCCGCTCCATGAAAACACTGTGAAAAACAGTGAGCGATGCTTTTAAGCACGTGAGCTCCTCGGAAAGAAAAAGTAAGTCCATCCCGTCCTAGGTCTCTGGCGCCCAGCTGGAGAGAGCGTCCCCAGCAGACATCTGGGTTGTCACGGTTTGGGGAGTGGGTGCTACTGGCATCGTCCCTGGTTGGACAGAGGCCAGGGACGTGGCTGACCCTCCTGTAAGATATAAGATATCGCCCCCCAACAAGAATGATCTAATTATCTGACCCCAAATCCCAGGGGCTCGGGGTCAAGAAGCCCTGCTCTAGGTTACGATTTCATCGCTAGCATTTTGGGTTACGTATGAAGGTAATCGCTTTTCCCCCCCCTCACAAATTTAAGTCCCCTGAAGACTCTTTAGAGTGGAAACGCAGGAAATTGTCTTATGAAAATGGATGTTAACACATCTTCCCATCACCATGTTTGCCTGAGCTAGTGCGGCAGCGTCCTTAGGTGACCCGTCACGCCCTGGACACCTGGACAGCAGCTCGACCGAGCCCCGAGCCCCCCTTTCCCAGCCAGAGTCAGGACCTGTAGCCAGCAGCGCCTTAAAGCGGCTTCAAGCCGTCGCTGCCCACGGCCTCCCGCAGGCGAGGTTCCGGCCGGAGTTCCCTGAGCGCCAGCGGGGAGCCCGGTGACAACGTCTGCGCGCGAGCCGTGTCCTGCCCAGCTTCCCGCTCCGCGCGGTCTCTCCAGCACTGGAGCCAGCGGAGGAGGCCCGCACCCGGTCACTGAGGGGTTGCGGGGGCTTCTGCGCGCCGCCCGCGGTGTCAGGGCTCCGGCCCGTCCCCCAGTCAGCAGCTCTGGTCGAGCGGCACGTGGCGTCGGAGACACGGAGGCGCGAAGCAGCGGGCGCGAGCCCGGGCCTCCTCCGCTACGCGCTGGGGGCGCCGTGGGCACAGGAGGGCGTGGGCGCCAGTCAGCTGTGCACACACATCTTCGGTCTCCCGAGTCGGCGGCCGCGTGTGTCTCGCAGGCGGCACGTTCCAGGCCCCCATGGAACGGACCGGCTTCCAGCGGGCGTCAGCCACGCTCCTCGCGTGTGCGTTTGGCCGGCAGAGAAGCAGGGAGCCTGGCTTCCCCCGGGGCCCGCGGGGAAAGCGGACCTGACGTCGCATGCGCCTCTGTCGTCTCGGAGCTGACCGTCCGGGCACTGAGGCCGTCGAGATGTGAGCGTGTGCTGCAGCTCGTGACCAAACGGCTGCTGTCATTTAGGTTGTTTCTGGGCACCGAGGCCTGGGTCTCCGGCCGCTCCGTGAGGCGGACCTGTGCCCGCTGCGGGAGGGATGTGGCAGCACCCGGCCAAAGCCACCCGCTCAGGCCTGGCTCCCCCGGACGAGGAGGGTGTTCGCAGAGCTGTGGTGGGTCCAGTTCTCGGGATGGTGCACCCCCAAAGCACGCGTCCCCTTTTTCCCACAAGAAGAGAGGGGCCAGCATGTGTCACAGAGTCGTTAGCCGGCTCCTTGCCTGTGGGCTAACATCCCACAGAGCACAGACCGGGGGCCATTCCTTACCCCAAGGCTGCCCCAGGTGATCGGTCCTCGGGCGAGCCCCTCGCTTCCCCTCCATGGCTCTTGCCTGGGACGTGTGAAGGGCAGCGAGGCAGAGTTTAGGACGCAGCTGGGTAGGCCGGCCCTCTGTGGCGGAGTCCAGCCTCCGTCCCGCGTCCCCCTCCGGGCGAGCTGGCCCCACTGCGGGAGGGGAGCGAAGGCCAGAGGCGGGCCCAAGCCGCTGCCGGGCGAGGCCACACGGACGAGGGCTGTCTGGGGCACAGGGCAGGAGCGCAGTCAGCAGTCAGGGGTGAGGACAGCAGAGCGGAACCGACCTGGGCCCCGCGGGCCTCCCCCTTTCCTGGCTAACGTCACGTTTTAACCCACTCGGCATGTCCAGCTTTCTCTCCTAATGCGCTGAGCTGCACGATGGCTTCGGGGTAACAGCAAGCTTCTCCGCACCCTCGTGTTGAGCTGCAGGGTGGGCTAGGTCTCCCCCCGTGACACCGTGGGGCCCGGGTGGCGCCAGGATGGACCTGAAGCCTCGTACTGGGGAGAAGGTTCCATCGCCAGGAGCAGAAAGCAGACGGGTTACCGCTCTGCTCGAGGCCCACCTCTGTTCCTTATTAATTATTGTTATCATCGCCCGCATGTCACGTTCCGTGCGTGCTCGAGGGTCCCCGGCACATCTCTGCTTCGTCTTCCTCCATGACGGCAGGAGGCGGGGGAAAGGGGCACAGTACACGAGCTCTTGCCCTCCTGGCGGCTTTCTAGGGCTGTTTGCCACCCAGCCAGGAACGCCCCTTTTTTCCTAGAAATCAGGAATGGCAATGGGCTCGTACCGCAGGGCCAGCCCCCATGGGGCATTGCCTTCGCGACGCCCCTCCCCAGGGGGCGGCAGGCGGGTTTGGCACTAGCACGCTTAGAACCCAGCCGAGCGGGTGCTGTGCACCAGGGTGGTGACACGTGTCCCTGACCAGCCCACAGACTCCCGCTTGCCGACCCCAGACCTTCAGGGGCACGAGAGGGAGATCCTGGGCCCGGCGGCTCTCTCCGCTTGGGAGCCGCGAGGAGTAAACGTCCCCTCGCGGCCCAGGGCGCTGCAGGGAGCGCCCCGCGGCCCCAGGCGGCGCGGGCCGCACGCTCCCTCCGCGCTCGCTCTGCTCCCCACGCTGCTTCCGGCTGCGGGCGTCGCGATCTCACCCTCTGCCCGTGGGGCCGCTCTGCATGGCGCGCTTCCTCTCGGCCGTCGGCTGCGGGGGTCGGGCCTCTTCCTTTCTGTGATCCGGTGCCTCGCTCTTTCCTTTCAGGTTCTTCCAGTTCTTTTAACATGTCAAACTCTGGAGATCTGTTCATGAGCGTGCAGTCACTCAATGGGGACTCTTACCAAGGGGCCCAGGTTGGAGCCAACGTGCAATCACAGGTAGGGACCCAGCCGATGTGCGGCAGGCGAATGCGCTAGCAGCCGAGAGCCCTCAGTCCTGTTGGCACTTCTGCTCCTTGTCCAGAGAGAGAGAGAGCGCGCGGGGGACACGTAGAGACAAAAACTGACCAACAACCAAACCAAACCAAAGCAAAGACAGCCGTTGTCATGGGAACCGCGTCCACATTCTGTGAGTGCATTTGGCTCTGGCTTGTCAGTCACGGCAGGAAGGCAGGGCCAGGAGAGGAAGCCCAGGGCCAGGTGACCGGGCTCAGCAGGCAGCGGGACCCGCGTCTTCTCTGTTCCCCGAAGGACAGGGAGGAGGCGCCCGGCCCTGCCCCGCTCCCCCGGCTCCGTGCTGTCGTGGGTTTTCACGCTCACCGTCTGCCCGGTGTGGAGGCGCCGAGTGAGCCGGCAGATGCCTTAGTAGCCCGCATCTCCACGTGCATCTTTAGAAACACCCAGCCAGGCGACCGGGCCCCTCTTCTCAGTCTTCCCGAAGGCGCGAGGACTTGAGTTCTGGTGATGAGTCTTTGTCCCCGATGGGAGGCGTGACTCAGGCGTGTGGCATGACCCCTCGGTGGCCCCTCGTGAGCAGCTCGCCTTCGCCACCCCTCAGGACGCCGTCCTCCGGCTCCGGCACGGGCCCTGGCGGCAAGGGAAGGCGGCAGGCTGTGGGTCAGGAGTGCTAGGGGACTCCAGGCCGTGTGGACCCAATGTCCCACCACACACGTGGGACACGAAGCACTACGTGCCTGGAGAAGACCAGCTGGCCGTGGCTCAGCCTCTCACTCGGGAAATAGCCCGGACACGAGTGTGAGGAGGCGCGGCCAGACTTTGGTCAAATGACCAGACAGCTGCCGTCAGCTCGGTCCTCAGACGCACGGCTGTCCCCGCGAGGTGGCTGGTCGAGCGCGTCCCCTCTACTCAGAACCGTGGCTTTTGCAGCAGACCCAGCGAGTGGGCAGTGATCTGGGCTGATCTGAGGGGAAGGGACGTCCGCTGCACTCTGTCCCTCCGTCCCCACAGCCCCGCCAGGCCCCGCCACCCCACGAAGCACCGTTGATCGTTTCCGGTGGGCGCCCCAGCTCCGTCCCCGCCTCACCGTCCCACCTGCGGAACTCAGAGAGGAGCCTCCTCCCCCCGGAGCTGCGGGGAAAGGCTACGGAGTGCTGGCCTTGGCGTGGCCCGCATGACGGTGACGCGCCCGCTGCCCTGCGTGCTCCGACTAACTTCCTCTTTGTTGTTGTTCATCTGTCTAGGTGGATACTCTTCGCCATGTTATCAGCCAGACAGGAGGATACAGTGACGGACTCGCAGCCAGTCAGATGTACAGCCCGCAAGGCATCAGCGTAAGCCAACAGCCCCTCTGTCTGTGTTCTGTCCCCGCCAATTATGTCAGAGCTGCCGGGCTCGGCACGCCGCTTAGTAGGACTCGTCTCGGTTCTCGTTTCCGTGCCGGTCACGCCCTCGGCAGGATTCGACCCTCAAAGACGTGGCGACTGGGTGGCTTCATGCAGGCAGCTGGAGTCTCGGGCTGTCAGACGCGATCAGTGTCCGCATGGCACCTGCGGCCACATGCGTCCGGCCGAGAGGAGCTGCCGAACAGGTGGCACCTAGCACAGTGGTGGTAGGAAGCGTCGCCACGAGCTGGGCCTGGGAACCCAGGGAGGACAACCAGTAGCCAAGACCCACGGCATCCGGGTCGGTGGTCTTAAAAACACCTTGCTCAAATCTGCCGAAGGACGATTAAGAAAAATTAAGGCCGAGGCCGGGCTGTGGAGGGGCGGGCAGGGCTACGGGCCGTCCACTTGTTCCTGGATGTGCTGGCGGCTCCTGGCTGGCATGAAAATTCATAGCGACAAGCTGTGTCGCACAGAGCGAAATCGATCAGACAGACACGAGGAGAACCGAGTGTGGATTTGGGACAGCAATCCAACCTGATTTCTCAGATCAATTGTCCGCTGTCTCAGCGGTGGTGACAGCAAGCCAGGACGACAGCAGCCTGGAGAGGAGGCTGTTCTTTAGGTCGGGGTGGCTTCCTGGGCGTCAGCGGCCGCAGGAGCCTCCGGTGGAACTGTTGGCTCAGAACTATTGAAGAAAACTAGCGTCGGCGGATGGGGATGACTTTTTATGGTTTGTTCTGTCGTTATGATGAAAATGAGTGGTGGGCGGGGGGAGGGGCGGGGAGGCGTGGTGCACCGTGTCGTCCCGGTCTGTGCGGACTGAGGCCGGGCGATGAGTCCTTCAGCTCTGCGTCGGTCACAGCACACGAGGCCACGGCCAGACCAGAAGGGACCAGGGGAGCACCGGCGGCGTCACAGGCGGGGCATGTGGAGAGGCTTAGGATGCTCAGCCTGCAGGAGAGGCGAGGTGTGCGGTGCGCACTGGTTCTGACAGGCCGTCGCCATGGCAGAAGCGGAGCCATCACGAACGAGGACGAGAGGCAGGCGGGAGAGGGTCCAGGGGCCACACTTCACCCCTGTGCCTGACGGGCCTTCCTCGCAGTCACCCTTGTCCGTAGAAGGGGCGACCACCTGGAGCCAAGCACTCCCCACCACGGGAGCGTTCGGACACGGTCTGTCTGGCTGGCTACTCGGTGGGGGCGGCGTGGTGGGCGGCCAGCCCCAGCCCCTGAGTGTCTCGGTGACTGTTAGGGCCCAGTCTCGCGTCCGAGTCTGCGCAGTATTTAACGAGTCCCTCTCCGGAGGGGAGCAGAGGCCGACGTGACCCGTGTACCCCGGGCCGTGTGAGCCTCCCCGGCAGGGGTTCCCGGAGCACGGGGAGCCTTGCCGTCCTCTGCTTCCACGAGCCATGATTCCCGTGTCGACGGCTGACTTCCCGGAAACACGACATACCGTGGTGGAGAAGCCCGTGCTCAGAAACGGATCCCAGATGGATTCTGTGGCCCCGGGTGTGCGGGGGTAGTTCAAGCATATGTGCATTTGCGCATTTCCTGAGTCTTTTTCAAATGTCAGGTAGAATTTTCCAGAAACGGCTTTGGTCTGGGCGTGAGTGGGGATGAGCATACGGGCCCAATCCTGGAGAACTGAGGAAGGTTGGCGTGACGGGCGGGACATGGGGCCGGCCAGTCTGCTCCTTGGCATCTTTCCTTCCTGATCGCTAGCACGGACCTCGGGCTCTGGGTGGGAGCGGGCAGCGCGGGCCCTCTGACGTCATCTGCGGGCTGGGAATCATTCTGAAGCAGGGTGACAAACACGTGCAGACGATTACGTCTGATTGCATAAGCCCACCGCAGACACCGCACTCGAGAGGGCCACTTGGAAGAGCCTCTCGCTGTGCACTGATCTTTCCCCGTGAACTGTGTGTGTTTCATTTCTGGGTCTTCAACGTGCAGGGACAGTGACTCAGAGGCTCACCATGAGGCGATAGGTCCCTTCGGCGTCAGTTTTAGATTGTGCCACCTGCCAGAGACGGAGCTTGTCGGGGCAGGATGTATTTTTAGACGGCGGTAGGGGACGCCGAGACGTGTGTGCAGAGCAGGGCCATGGCTGCCAGGAGAAGGGAAAGGGACCAGAAGAGTCTAGGACAGGAATGAAAGTTTCGAGCCAAGAAATAAAAATAAACATCTCCCCAGCGCGAGGCGCCATGGGAGACCCAGCTGGGCTCTGGTTGCGTCTGTCCGCGGAGGACGTTTTCTGGGCAGCCGCCGTCTGCCCCCCCGGCTGGGTTCTCACCGCGCCCGTCTGTCTTCCAGCCGGGATCTATTTTAAACCCTGTGGCGTTCAGACCCCTTGCCTCTAACCAAGACCACGCCGCGCAGGGCTGCAGGGCGGGGGGTGGCGGGGGCCGCCGACGGGGCCGGGACGCTGGCCCTGCATGCGTCCGGGGTGGGTGTCAGCCCCGGTCTGGGTGCTGGGCACTGGGCCCGCGGCCCCCACCCTCGGTCCTGCACTGGGGTCAGCGGTTCCCACCCTCGGTCCTGGGGCCACTTTGGGGAAGACGGGATGAGGAGTGGGAAGGGCCTCGGCCACACGCACGCCGTCCTCCCAGACGCCGTGTGCGAGCCCGTCGGTGGTGACTCGCGGGTCGGCCTTTGCTCCCTGCGTGAGGCTTTTCCCGGTGGCCGGTTTCTGGCCAGGAGGGCTCAGGACACAGTTGTCACTTTTCCTCTCTGCTGACGAGAAGGCTGTGGAGTTAGGCAAGGGCTGAGGACCCCTTCCTTACCCACAGCGAGCGTTAAATCATCCCTCCTTCGGGACTCAGTGTTCTCAGATGACAGCGGGGACACTCGCCGCGCTTGGATCACGTCATGGAGGGAGAGGGTTCCAGCCGTCTGTCAGCCGGACAGACACCCTTCACCGTCACTCAGCGGCACGTCCACCCAGGGGGGCGGGCCCTCGGCGAGGCTGTCGAGACAATTCCCTAATCACCGCCCCTGCCTTCAGCTTCTCCTCGGTCCCGTGCACACCCCTGAATTTCGTCCGTCCTTGCTCGGCGGTCATCGGCGCCTCTCTGTCACCCACCCAAGCAGGTTCTGTCCCTGAGGTGGACCTACGGTCCTCCGCGCCCTGGCCCCCACCCCCATCCTTCCACCTCTCCCTGCCGCCCAGGTGCTGGGACGCCAGTCAGCGCCATCCGGTCACCGTCCCCGGACACGCACACCCCCACATTCGCTCCTGTCCGCCCGTCCTGCCGCCCTCCCCCGCCGGCGTCCACTCCTCCCCTCCTCAGTCCCCCTGCCGTCCTCGGCCCTCCGCTTGCGTTGCGGAGATGTGCACGGCCGTGCTTCGCCGGTCTCAGCCTTCGCCCGGACACCTGTTCGGTGGCAGAGGCATCTGTTAGTTGCTCAGAACACGTTTTTCGAATGAGTGAATCAGGCTGGAGAAGACGCGGTGCCACGTAGTGACCAATGGCCGCCTCTTCTAGTCAGCTGCAAAGTGTCTAGTCGTGGTCTTTTTAAAATGCTTTTTAATCCACAAATACACTGCTTATTTTTTTTAGTTCAAAACATTCTTAAGTCCTTTTCTAAACTTTTTGGCCAGTGCAGATTCCCTGAGGGTCAGAGTCAAATCAGCATTAAATATATGACGTTCTGTAGCAGTGGCATTGCCGAGAGCATCATCTCCTGAGTCCTTCTGCTCTTCCTACCCTATAAAGACCCCTGTCTAAACCTGACTGTGGGACGCCACTCGCATAGCCACACCGCACGGTGACCGATGGGGTCCTCGCTGCCATCGCTACACACGTGGGACCAGAACCTCCGCAGGCAGACTGGCGGGGGGTGGGGGGACAACCTACAGTCTGGGGTCCTTCCTGTGGCTTGTCACCTAACGAGTCACTCGCCCCATATTGTTGCTCCATCTGTAAAATTGACCGGATGAGCAAGCTCGAAGGTCCCTTTCGACTCAGTAGACCTGGAGCCCTCCAAGCCCGGCCCTTGATGCTTATTCTTAGCTCAAGGGACACCAGGCTCAGCCACAGCCTCCTGTCCCCAGAAACTCTGCCATCAGAGCCCGTCTCTGCTGTGCTTTCCGAGACTGCTGCTTCGCCCTCCCCCGGGGCTTCCAGCGAGGGAGGAAGAGCTTGCGTCCCACGAGCTTCTCCCTCTGCGTCCTCAGAGGCTCGTGGTAGCAGCAGGCGTCATTCTCCGGTGACGAAACAGCTTGTTCTTTGTTTACGGTGTGCGTTAAGGGACTGAGTTCGCTACAGCCCATCTTAGGTGTCAGTAGACGCCCTGTAAGAGTTTTCTTATCCAGTCGTTTGAGTGAAAATGGAAACTAAGGGTTAGCATTCTCTCTGTGAAAGCAAAGTCATCGATGTCAGTTCATGACAGAAAGATCTCGTTCGTCTTGCTCTGAGATAATTACAGCAGTGGAAAAACAGGTGAAGCTTTATCCGCGTAAACGTAACATAGGTGTTTCCGATTTCGTTTTCTCCCACGTTAGGCAAAGGAAGAAAAGGACATTTACTGAGAACACGAATAAAATCGAAATCATTAGGACAAAAACAGCACGCCGTTCAAGTGGACACATTCCAGGCATTGGGGCATCACGGGGTCACGGTAACACATGGGCACGTGCCATCGCTCTAATTGTCACAACTGCTATGAAGAACCTCCTTCCACTTACAGTATATTTTAATAAGATGCTGCCACGTGGAATTATAGGACCGGGAAGTGAGGGTGATCGTTAAAATTCACATGCAAATCTTTAAAAACCCGCTTTAATTATACGGTTTTAATTCTTCTCTTTTACCAAACTTTGAAGGTGTTGGAACAGAGCCTCTGGGTGCCTTCTGGTGCTGCAGTCAGGGACCACCAGACAGCTCAGCTGGAGGGGCGAAGGGGGTGAGAGGAGCTGTAGGGCTGGACCCGGCGAACCAATCTCAG